ATATACATATATATATATATATATATATATATATATATATATATATATATATATACATATATATATACATATATATATATTTTAAATCATGAAGAAATTCCATCACTTGTTTACAGAATAAAATAAAGAAAGATTATTTAAATTACACAAAAATCCAACACTAAATATAAATCACAATCCAGAGAAACTGAGAATTTTCAATATTTGTGATATAATATTTGAGTATCACTCTGATCATTTTATAGGTTTGTATACATGTGTATACATTTTTTAGGTTTGTGAAGTCTCCATATTATTCGTCATTTCATAGGAAAAAAAGGTTTTAATGCTATAAAGACTTTTTTTTAATGATCTAGGCGCAAAAGCATTAAGAGTGTGTCTGAATCCACTTTTGCTATTGTGAGGATGGAAAAATACGCTCTGCACCCGGCGCATGGTCTAACAGGGTTGTGCTTATTCTCCTAATGAGTTCTGGGTGTGTTTTGAGCACAACCTGCATTAAACCAGTCAGTCTCTACTCTCATTTGCTATTTACATGGTGACCTTTGTAAGTGTAAAAACTGAACGCTTCACTAGGGAGAAAACAGTTAAACAGAGCATCTGCAGCGCGAGGATAAAAAACGAGCCTCCTCCATTCAGCCTCTTTATTTTTACTATTTACTCCTTTACTTTGGTGGAGTGAGGAAACGGTGGAAACTCACTCCACTGAACACATCCATCAGCCCACATATTTCCTTTAAGCGCAAACATTCGTGTCTAAACTATTTCTAAATTCAGTTCTGATCTCCAGCAAAGGAATAAATGAACAATAATAATGAAGTGTGGGCAGAAACTGAGTTATATCCAAACACACGTCCTGTTCTTATCCACATATGCTGATGCAGACGTCCCCAAAAGCCCACAGCTGGACACATCTACACTTGTGTTTATTAAAGCAAATATAAATCTGCATATAATCAATAATACTGCTAATAATAATCACATTATACAGATGCAGATGGTCATCAATAAACTAAAAAAAGCCCCCCGAGGTGAAGAAGGCATGGAGGCAGTGCTGTTTATATTAATGTAGAAAATTATAATTTCTTTATAATTTTAATCCTTTAAATGCTTTATCTGTAAAGATATTTGTGTGTTGCTGATCATCCTGTGTGTATTCAGCAATGTAAGCGTAACTAACGTGCTCTGCTGGACTATTTCCTCAAAATGGCAACGCTCTAGCAATGCGCCTTAACACACCTCCTTTATAGACCATGCAGCACAGCCATGATTGACTGATTTATGTGTTTTAGATACTCAATTCCCCCTCCCTCTTCTTGTTTTTTTAATTAAATATGATTGTTAATTTATTCAACTATTGATCTTTCATTTTTATTGAATTTATTTCTTAAGATGATGTAATGACTTTCACACCAACCTAAGTCACAATGTTACAGCAAATGACATGCTTTATTCATTATGCAAATACAATACACTTGACATGTAAACAATGATTGTAAACTATATCTCAAAATATTACACATTGTCAGTGGAAAAAGGCACAAAGAGAGAGTATGGAAGATGAGTATGAACTTGAGGGTAAGAGTTTTAAGAATCAAATAAAGTATATTAATTAAAGTCATTACAAAATTGCATACTTCTTTTCAGATACTGAAATTGTATTTTAATAATGCCTAAAAATGTTCAACAACAAAAAAAATAACATTAAAAATGGTTTGCTATTGGTAAAAATAGTTATATACGGAAAAGAAAGATAATGGTGTCTTGTTGTTATTCTCCGCGGTTCTTCCAGGGCTGCAGGTGTCACTGTAGCCTTTTTCCACCCTCAGTGCTGCGGAAGTAAACAAAACCGGCGCCTCGCTTCCATCAGTCAGATTGTAGGCTACATGATTTTACTTTCGTTATGAGATTTCTCCGTTGTTTGTCGGTGCTGTGAGTTTGTCCGGGATGGAGGCTGTGCTAAACGGAGACTGCAGCTCTCATGCGTCCGCGGACTCCATCAGTCTACACGATTTCTCGGAGAAGTTTCTGGAGCAGCGCGTTTATTTCCACCTGATGAAGCTGAGCGGCGGATTCTTCCTCTGGGTCGGAACCGCGACAAACCCGCTGATCTCCAACCTGGCGGTGTCCATCCTCAGCAGAACCGTGAGTCACTTAATACTATGATTGTAATGATATTACTAATAGATAGATAGGTGGATGGATGGATGGATATACAGACAGAGATAGATAGATGGATAGGTGGATATACAGATGGATGGATAGGTGGAGATATAGATAGATAGATGGATGGATATACAGAGATAGATAGATAGATAGATAGATAGATAGATAGATAGATAGATAGATAGATAGATAGATAGATAGATAGATAGATAGATAGATGGATGGATGGATATACAGACGGATGGATGGATGGATATAGAGACGGATAGATAGCTAGACAGATATAGATGGATAGGTAGGTAGATAGATAGATAGATAGATAGATAGATAGATAGATAGATAGATGGATGGGATATACAGACGGATGGATAGATAGATGGATAGATAGATAGATAGATAGATAGATAGATAGATAGATAGATAGATAGATAGATAGATAAATGGAT